TAAGGCGTCAAACATTGTATTTTTGTCAACATAATGTAATTGATTCAGAAACATGTAAACATATACTATGATATAACTTTTTCAATTATATTTATGTTGGTTGTCTATACTTTGAGCATTATTATGTTCGTTGTTGTGATACTATACATGAAGTCCTCCACCCCCGGACGTTTCCGCCATCCTAGGTTTGGGGGTGTGACAGAGGGCATGCATGGGCTCCCATTGATCTATACACAAGTTCTTAGCCATTTTGGATCATTTATGCGTTAGGGTTTGAGTTTGAATGTGATTAGGCATAGATCTTGATAAAGTTGGAAACTTTATCCATCAAGTCCATTGTGAGATTCAAATATGAAAGTATAAGCCCTAATTTGAAGGGATTAATTGCTTAGTAAGAAAAAGGCTTATGCCTTGAAAATCATGACGCGACCAAGGAAGGGTCGCAACGCGAGTTTAGGAAGAAAATCACAATTTTTTGGTTGCCATGTGATCGCGAAGCAACTAGTATTTGGGTCGCAACGTGTTAACCTTTGATCGTTGACCATTGACTTTTGGTTAAACTTTGAGGATTTGAATTGTGGACCGAGGTTTGACCTCTATTTGACTTAGGTGGTGTGTGTATTTGATTCATTTTGCGGGTTCATGTGAGTGCGTGATTTCATATCTTCGTATTAATGTGAATTTTCTCACTATATTACTTATGTCATTATTGGATTTAGTGTATGTAGAATGCTTGTGTAATGTTATGATGTGATCGTATGCTTAGTTAGACTAGTTAAGTATTGTCTGTTTGTTTACATGCTTAGTATGGGATGATGTTTGATATCGGTGTTGTGTTATGAGCCTATAGGTCCGTTTGGAATATGGAGATACCGGTGCTATGTTGTAACCTATATGTTTGTTTGGATGATGATGATATCGATGTTGTGTTGTGAGCCTTCAGGTCCGTGTGGATGATGTCAATAACGGTGTTGCTTCGTGAGCCTACAGATCCATTTGGATGATGGCGATACCGGTGTTGTGTCGCGAGCCTACACGTCCGTTTGGATGATGGCAATACCGGTGTTGTGCTGTGAGCCTACAGGTATGAGGGATGATGACAAAAGCCCACATGCCCAAGGTATGTGGTATTTTAGGGAACCCAATAAGTTTTGTGCTTACATTTTAAAGTTAAATGTTTTTCAGATAGTTCTATTATCGGAGGAAATGGCTCAACTTGATTGCACTGCACGCACATCATTATTGATTATGATTTAGAATTTCGTTGGTTTGACATGATTATGATACATTCTTTTTTATGGCATGGTTTTATGATGTTAAGCACTTTAGTAATTCTATCTTTTTTATGGAAAATGAATATTTTACTTATATTCAAAACGAAAATTTTGTTTGAAATTTTGGGACGTTACAAAGTTGACATGAGCGGGCGAGATAGACGTTACGAATGTGAAAGGCAATGGAGGCATCGGTGGTTGCGTCGCCGTATATGGATACGATCTTCTTCATAAATGATTTCTCGAGTGGGTGTCAGATTTGACAGGAGCAAGAGAGACGAGTGAGACTGGAGTGAGAGAGATAGATGCGGCATAGGCGAAGGCAGTAATGTCAATGGAGATGGAAACGACGACATAGTGGAGGTTGATGAGGGAGAGAGGTGAGTGATGCAATGTTTGGGCCTTGGGTTTAAGGATTTATATGAGTTTCCTGTGAATTTATTGAAATGGTCCTCGTGGTTTTAGGTTTTGTCAATTTTAGTTTGAGGGCAATCTTGTCATTTTAAAGGAAATAACAAGACTAACGGTAACTGTCTCAAGAATCAAAACTAAAGGATTTACCAACCATAAAGATCATGTCTCAAGGATCAAAACTAAAGGATTTACCAACCATAAAGATCAGTGGACAGTGGTATCAAATTTCTAAAACAAGAATCAAACCTATAAAAAGATGTATACTATAGAGACCAAAACTATAATTTACTCTAGAATTTATTGTTACACATATTTTAATCAAAATTGAGATTTTTATTCCGTTCAAAACTAGCAGGTGATAACTATCAAATACAATTATGATAATTATTTTAACCTTACATGTTTAACGTGAATTTCTTTTTTCAAAAACTGTGAAAATTAAATATAAGCCATTCTAGCGATTCTACTTTTCTCATGTCAAAAAGGAAATGATAACTATTTGCTACGCTTAATTTATAATTTTTTATACATAAAACATTTCATTGTTTTGAATTTGCCCCATTTAAATGTTTATCTGGATCTATCCTTCAATTGCAAGTAAGGGATCGTATTATTCATATATAAAGTAAAAAGAACATATGATATAACACAATTTACAATGAATACAATGTCTACGTTTTACCTTGAAAAATATCCCCATGCAATACAAAACACAGCACCTTTTTGTTTTGAGTTGCGATAAATATACAATATTTCTGTTAAGTCCTTTAGTGAAATTACCTATTGGCCCATCATTATTTATTACGGATACTTGGCTAGTGATTTTTTGTTTAGCTCTTAATGAGTTGAATAAGAGCCAACGTCAGTATTTGATTGTACATATATAAAGAGTATTTCTAGAAAGAAAAAAAAAATTATGTATGTTATCCAATGAGTGAATGAGCAACACCTCTTAATCACTAAGCCCTCAACATTTGCCTTTTTATTACGCGCATGCTAATTGCGTGAGAGTTCAAAACCAGATATTAGACTTAATTTTTAGACCCACGAATCTATGATACTGTGTTTTCTATGCAACCTAATCGCATTTGGTTATATATCTACTTAATACATATAGACATTTGCATCTTTATTAGACGATAAGTCAACAAATTTGAACAAACTTATTCAGTTTAGACTCAATGCCTATAAAAAAGAAGTTAGATAAGTGCCTTTATTAGAGGATGTTTAGGATTGTGCTTTGCAACGATTTATTGATTTTTTTTTCTTTTATCACCGTTATAAGTTAAAATAAATATTAAATGTTCGTCATTACTTAATGATTTTTTTTAAACTTCTTTTTACTCCCACTGAGATTGTAGGGATGCTTGTGACAATGTCATCTCAATTATCAGCCATCATCAATTTTGCCACACTACAAACACAACATACCATTTAGATGTGTGGGTAAAAAAATGACATTCAATATGGTCAAAATATAGGTGGAAGTTCAACTTGTCCTCTCTCCCAAACAACCCATTGTCGTGGGCTCTCTCTCACTTTGGCATGCCACCATTGTGGGCCGGTGTTTGCCGAGCATGCCATGGTGGAACCGAGCATAAAGTCGACGAACTTCTCCGAGTTTAATAGCTTGTTTTTCAAAAGTCAATTCTATTTACACATGTCTCACCTAATAACCACAATTTCTGAAAATATCAACATATGACCATGATTATCAAAAAAATATCTGATTAACCCAAAATCTAGAAAAAATAACTGAACACCACATCTATGACATGCGTTTGACGAAACCAGTCGGTAGCTGGAACCGAAGCTTTTATATGTGTAGAAATGCTCGATAAACTACGTGGAAGTTGTAGAAGTGTAAAAAATTACATAAAAATCAAAAGTTAAAAGCTCCGAAAATTTACTTAAAATAATTTTTGAATTAATAGTTCTTTTGTTAAAATAAAAGTTAAAAATTTATATTGTCGAACCACATGTTTTTTCTTTAATTCGAGTTTTTTAAAAGCTCCTAATTCTTTTTTTAAAATAACATTATCCCTTAATTTTAATAAACAAACCATAATTTAACTCTGGTGCTTGGGTTGGCCGACAGTTATTTTGCTCTAGTCGCCCAAAGCCCAAAAAACGCTAGCGGCCCACCCAAACCCTAGCATCGCACAGGACAGGACACATAATAATATCTCCGTCTCGACTCTCACTTCCCTTCAAAATGTGTATACGCTTTGTAGTCGCTTACTTGGTTTGATATGTTTCTCCTTATGCCTTGTTTTCTCTATTTCGATTTTGTTGAGTTTGATTTTTTGCACTTCATTTTGTGCATTGTTATCCATCATAATTCATAAACTTATGGGTCAGGTAGGATCGTTTCATAGGAATGACATGATTCATTAGATTATAAATGTAATTGGGTAAAATAGTTATTTATTGTTTCTTGGTAGATTAACAGTAGGATTCACCTGCATGCTTCATTTCTAGGTTGTGAGTTTTAAATGCTCATAATCTGCCATTGAAGAACGTTATTTTGTGTCCTTAGGGTTTTCCAATTTGAAAGCTTTACACGGTGACTAATTAGCCATTCACATGATGATAATCGATATGTGAATGGTCAGTAAGCTCACCAACATTATTGTGTTAAACAGTCTTATTATGTGGGACTGGAATTCGTTTAGTATCACATCAAGTCTATTAACTACATATCTTATAATCATTTCTGATTTATAATTACAGTTTTGGTGGCTAATTAGCCAATCACATATATTTTGTGCGATTGGTCAGTAAGCTCACCTACATTACAATGTTAGCAGCCTTTTGGTTTCCATATGAGATTTTTCATTTTCATGCCAAGGCTATAACTACATGTCTTAACTTTTTCTTATAAAAAATTGTTGTTATTAGTTTTGTAAACAGAATTATGAGAAAACAGTAGTTATGCTAAATTTGATGTGATGAGGTTGGATTCTGGATTCTGTGTTAGCAGCCATCTCCCGTAATCTTGTATCAATTGTTGGAGTAACAAGGGTACAAGTCTGTCTACTAAAGCTTGCATCATTCTGTAATATAAAATAATATGTCACAAAAAAAAAAACTTAATATTACTGCATGTTTCAAGTCCTATGAAACAGAGTAAATGTACTTACAAGCTGCCTGGAACCTCTACAGCAGATGTTGGCAGCATGGTAAATGGTTGGGTGTATATCTACATAATCAACAAATTAATGAATTAAAGCATAATCTAGCATGGAATGGGGTAAATCACAAATCATACATGATATGTTTAATGTAGAGAAAATACCTCAAGAGTGAGATCTAGCTTCACGTCAACATCCAGATATGGTTCAGAGTTCTTTGTGCACCAAGTTATGTAATTTGTCATCTCCGCTGTATTATATACACAATTAATCCATAATATTATAGAAGACATTATTGTTGTTACAAGCAAATTGATGTTGCGTCTCTTTGTTATTATGGGAGGGTGGGTATCTAAGATTTTTGACAAATAATCACACCTTTTGCTTCGATCAAATCGTATCAAGTCAAACATTGTAATTTAATTGGATCAAAGTATTTCATGTTTTTAGTAATTGTATACACAAATTAAACAAAGTTTACAACATCATTATCAAAATTATATCAAGTCTGAGCAAATACCTGAAAAATGCTCATTTTGTTGTGTCACGACTTCGGAACCCTCAAACTGCAGAAAATGTATAAATAAAAAAATGAATTTAAACTTTGATTGAAAAACCTTTTTCCTAGATTTACATTATCATTTCATATTGTATCTGTTTCCAGGAACTAAATTCCGGGCATTAGTTAGTTAGTTACCTTGCAACATAACAACTCCACCATGCAATCTTCAGTTGTTGGGGTCACACGCAAATCTATCACAGGAGAGACCTCAAAGTTTAGCAAATTCAGTTGTGGCAAAGTACACCTGCAAAACAATTCTCATTAAAAAGCAAGAACACGAGCAACTCCTGTAAATGGTATCATTATGTTATAAAGAAAGCAGCAAAATGCGAACCTGTAAGTGGTAAGATCGAGTTGTTCAAATTTTTGCAGGGCTTGAGTATTTAGAAGTGCTTCAATTCCAGATGGATGGCTTAGAAATTCCCTAATTGGATATATTTTTTTCCCTCTTCCATGTAGGTCATTGTAGCTTGGAATATTGACTCGATCCTTCTTCCTAGCAGATAATTTAGCCTTTTTGACATTAGAGTCAAATTTCTCATTACTGCTATTGGAAATAATGCTTAATCTCCTCCTGGAACAAAATCGATTACGTGATTCCTAGTGCCAAAACAAAAGAATATTAAAGATTATACTAGCATAAGATAATTAAATAACTGTATCACAAATTCACAATTATCAAGTTAAGGTTCCACATGTTTGAAATCATGAAATGTAGGCCATTGAACTGATGTCGCTGTAATTTCAATTTCCAATTCCAACTTTTTTATAATTGTGCATTGGGAGCTCTCGTTGAAGGGAGGAGAACATGAAAATTGGAGATATCTATCAAAATTTATGTATTTCTTAAAACTCAATGGTAGTTAGTTAGTAAAGAACCTGGGAATGAAAAGCTTTTGGAAGAATCAGGGAAGCTTCAAATTTGAAAACCTTCATCATTCCAATACGAAATATATATACTCCTGCTATTCAATTATGCATTTAGCAATAACTAGAAAGAAATTAGAAAAAGGTAAGCAATGTCTATGGTCTAAGAAAGAACCCGATTTACCTGATCGCTCGTGGAAATGGTGTGTGGTTGTGAGTGAGTGTTTGTGTCAGAGAGAGATAAAGAGAACTGCTATTGACCAAACAACCCGCCAACGACTGTTGCTGTAAAAAAGAAAAAAAAAAAAATA